TCGTCATCGTCCTCGTCGTCGTCGTCGTCGTCGTCGTCGTAGTAGTAGTAGTAGTAGTAATTGTTGTTGTTGTCGTAGTAGTAGTGGTAGTGGTGGGTGTACTAGTACTAGTAGCAGTAGTAGCCGTAGCAGAAGTAATAGTAGTAGTGGTGGTAGTAGTAGTAGTAGTAGCAGTAGTAGTAGTAGCAGTAGTAGTAGCAGCAGCAGCAGCAGCAGTAGGGGGAGGAGGAGGAGTAGATTTGATTCCTCTGTGATCAGCGTTGTCGCCTCCACGCTGGTTCGCGGTCCAACTTTGCGAGGGCCACCTGCATTCGAGAACAGCTAGTTGAAATGCGATCTGAACTGGAGGGTTCTTTCAGCATCGAAGTCGTCTTAGTTTTGCAGCGTGCGACGGTCAGCGTTGAACCGTAAGAAATAGACCGTCCAAAGGCCATAGGCAAGTGTTGAAAAAGGATGATGCTGATGATGACTATGATGACGATAACGATGAAAATTACGGGATGGAGCTGATGGTCTACAACCGTGGGCACACCCACGTTCTGGATGAGGGGTGGTGGCGGCATTCCCACTACCCTAGTAGGCTGCTGCATACTGGTGATGCCCGTAATAGCGATGCCGCCAACTTCGATCACTAAATATGTCACATCAAAACGCCGATCAGCACCAGTCGGGGCTTGCATGGCTTGTTCGACGTTGGGACGGTTGCGTCCTGTTGGTGCTGATGCTCTGATTCATGCTGCCGCTTCCACTGCGCACAATACTGCATTGGATGCATTTGCTGCTGCTGCTGCTGCCGGTGTTCCTGTTGCTCTTGAAGGGGTTACTGTTCTTGTCGTGGCTTGTGTTCATGTACATGGATTGGGTCGCAGCAGCAAGATTCAACTCTACCCATGTTCCTTCGGTGTTTGCAGATGTCAAGCTGCTTCTCAGCTTAGCAGGTGTCGGCGCAAGTGGTGGCGGCGGTGCTCGTAGTGGTCAGTAGAAGCGAATGAGGATAACGGTTTGAAAATGATGACAACGATAGCAATCGTGCCAACATTGCTTGCCTCCAGGCACTCGAGGACCCGTGCAGAGCTTCTGGGGGCCGAGGGCTGCCTCGGGAGAATAGGGCAGAAGTAAAACATCACAGCTGTCAGAGCCGTACTGCACCAAAGCTACTCCCGGAACCCGTCCAAGCTTCGAACTCTGCAGGTGAAAGCAGCTCGGTCACCTGAGAGAGTGCCGCCTGTGGTTTTTCCGCTTTTTAACTTCTGACATGGCAATGTGGCAGCTACCTGCACCTCTGTGCCGAACATCTTTCTAGATGTACAAGTGTATCGATTTGGCCGCTTGGATTTCCTTCTTGAGTGAGATCTTGATCGCTGCACCGGATCCCGATAAGGATGGCACGATGTCAGCCACATCCTTGGTTGGCTCCTGCTGCTCCCTTGCCACAGGCAAAATGTTTGGCTTGAGAGAAGGGTCTCGCGCAGCTCAGAATCGGTCGCTCACTCTAACGAGACTTGCTAGGCAGCTAGTCTGTCAAGGTTTTGGGCTTCTGCTTCGATCGGACGACCCATGGCCCGAGCAAGTCGACATGAAAGCTTCAGATTCAGCCCTTTTTCGCTGCCTGCGCTGGCGAAATCGGCCATAAAGAAGAGCTGATGGACTGGAAGGGTAATTAGGGTTGAGGGTTTAGGGAGGGCTAAAGTGGCAAGTGGCTCAGAGTTGTAAGTTTGCGGGACCGGCATCAAGGACTACTCTCTGACACAAGGTCAAGACCATCGATTGACGAAATGCACGGTTGCAGGGCACTCGTATCTAGACGCTAGACAAGGACTGGCCACTTCGACATTCTCAGCAAAGCTAAACTGACCTGCATATGCACTGGGAGGCAGAAAAAGGTGATCCATGCGAGCCTTTCTGCACGGCCAACACCTCCCGGCAGTCGCCCACGCTGCATCGGCTCGAGCTTGTGAGGTCCGCTGCCGTTTAGGGTTTAGGGAAGTTCAAAGTCCTTGCTTCTTTGGGGCTGAATGCTGCATCGCGCCTCACCTCCTGCAAACGGCAGGAGGACAAGGCCTTGCGAGGCTTGATCCTCTACAATAGCACCGGACAGCCGCAGGTTGCGCTACTGGAGAGCGCCTGCGGTTTCCAAGATCCACGTGCATCTTGCCTTGATGCGACCTGTGCTGTGCCGTACGGCTTGTAAACTGGACAACCGGTAGGATGTGCTGACCACAGACCTCAGTGCCACAAGCTACGCACAGCTACCGGTATGCAGCAGGGCAACACCTGCACGCCGCTGTTACCACTACGAGCCGAATGATTGAGAACACAAGTGGACCTGACAGCGCAGCACTGACAAGTGACAGCCAAAACAGCCAATTTCTTTTCACCCGGTAGCGACGGGCACTGATACTGATGATCAACTCATTAACTGCAATCTCTGGGCATGAGGAGGCAGCAAAGGTGTCACACGGCGACGGCCGACTTACGACAGCAAGTCGAGGCCTAAACAAGCAGTTCCATCACATATCGATAATTATTGTAAGCATTAAATGATTCGAACAACGTGGTACCAAAAATCGCCAAAAGCCCAAGCCGAGTCTCAAGATGCGCGTTGAGCTTGCTAGGGTGGCATGGAACAAGGAAAACACCCAAAAACAAGCCTAATTCATTGAAATAGGTCCGTTTTGGGGGCTTTGAGTCTGTCGAATCTGTCGAAGGAGAAAACCGTGACACACACACACACATTCGTAATTTATTGAACAAGCTCGTCTTGGGCTGTTGAGCCTGCTAAGGTAGCATGGAACAAGCAAAGCCACAGAAAGAAGCCTTTTCATTGAAATAGGCCCTTTTGGGGGGGTATTGAGCCTATGTCGCGTGGATTGAAAAAGCCCAATTCATTGAAATGGGCTTCTTTTGGAGTTTGAACTTTCCAAGATGGCTGGAGCCAGGAAA